TGCTAACGTCAACCAAAATGTATTTCTTTTCCCTCAATATATCAAATATTTTATTTCAAATCACTTTTTCTGTTCTCAATTTATGCCAGAAATAATTTGCTATAAATTTATTTGAAAAATTTAATGTCATTTTACTCTAACTTTAATTTACACCAATTTTTGTTACTTTTTATGTGTTTTTAAGCAATGAATTTTTTTATATAAAATATTATAAGCAATCAAATTGTTTTTTACTATATAAATATAAATATTTTAAATTAAATAGTTTAGAGTAAATGTATGTAAATTTGAATATATAAGCAAAATATGTGTAGATTTAAACAAATTTAGTGTTCAATTTGAGAAGAAATAAATTTCGATGATAGTATAACAGAACGATAGACGGCATACCATTTGCCCCAAAACTTTCAATACTCTTTGGCATCAGTTGGTGACCACCGGCTCTTCAGCAAAAATGCATTGATATATGATTTTCTCGCATTTCTATAATCAGTTACGAGTTTGAAGTGTTGTTCCGGAACTGTATTTCAAACTAATATTTCATATCTCTAAACATCCATTAATTTAAGTGTCAAATGTATGACACTTTCTTTCATAGGGTTTGATGAATCAATGATGCCTTTGACAACATGTTTACTTACAATACATGTAATCATATCATTTAAACCACGATTGTTCATATAATTACTACAATAGAATTATTATTTGTAGTACATATTTGTGCATTTCTACTACATTTTAGATGTTAAAAATATTTTTTAAATCTAAAGCATAATAAATATTTACAATATAAATAGGAGAGAATATTTACAGAATAAATATCATTTTAATTAAAATATATATTTTAAAATTAAATATTATAACTAAAGATTTATCTCAAAAGTGAAAGATTTGCTAACTTTATATAATTTGATTTGTTTAATGAGATTCAGAATTTAAATATTAAGCTTGAAGTTAAAGCACAAAATATTTGTGCAAAACCACCTCAAGTGATGAGCACTCGGCTATTCTTCCAACAAATATTTCAACATTGCCTCAAAACGTATTCATATTTTATTTATTAAATGAATGGCAAACTAAATCTCAAATTTAGTTTTTTATATACAGTACTATTCGCTGTTTGGATATTCTGTAAACAATCTATAATTTCATTCAAATTAATATAATAATTATATGTTCAATAAATAGATATCACATATGGGTATTTTAATGAATCTATAGTTTATATGATATAAATTATATCTAATATACAAATTAATTTATAAATATAAACATATGAATAGTTTTTAAATAATTTAAAAAATCAATAAAGTCTATGTACAGTATATTTGTAATGATTTTTGTGTAAATCTATGTGAATTTTAAACAATTTTAAATCAAATAATAATTGCCTAAAAATAAACAATGTTATATATTTAAATATTAAATGTAGTCATTAAATCAGATCCAATATGTTTTGTTTTAATTACATTTTTAAATTTTAGTAAATTATCTATTTTCTACAAAATATTATATAATTTGTGATTATTTTGACATTGATACAATCATAATGAATAGATTTTGTTAAAACCCATGTTAAAATTACATTAATCAGTAATTAAATAAATGCATTTATTTATCTCAAATAAATTTAACCATTTCATATATTTAAATAATTTTCAAATAAATTTTTAAACCTCATATATTTTTAGCTATCAATTGTCAAAGTGAGAGCCATTTATTTAATCTTGTTTTTTTTACTTTATATGTTTTTAAAACATTCAATGACTGAATCCTTAAATTCTGATATCCAATAATCGTTTGCATAAATTCTGTTTAATAATATTATTTCAAACAAAATTCATTAGTTATTTGCCGTCAAAATGGTATAACCCATACAAATGAATTATATTTTCTTTAGAAATCTCATTCATGAAACAAATAAATTATTCACAAATCATTGAAAATACAGAATTTAAAAAGATTCCGATTAATACACGAATTGAATATTTAAATATGAAACAAACAAAAGTAATTCAAATGAGTTTATTTAAGTTAAAGTGTTTTGCTTAACATTTATTGTTTCGTGTTTTTAATTAATCCTGAAATCATTTGATATCGAGAATTAAACGTGAATTTTAAAACACATGTAATCTGTGTTTCGAAACCTTGAATGCTTTGGGCATTTGTTTTAAATTTATAAAGACTTGAGCTCTGATAGGGCTTAACCTAACATTAAATTACAACAAGAAAAAAATAATCCTTATTTTTAATAACAAAATTTAAAGAATAGTTTAATATTTTTATATTTTTGCTCAAAACATTTCTAAGACTTACTTTTAATAAATATATATGAGTTTGTGATTTTGGGATTTTTCCTCAAAACATTTTATGTGTTTGAATGTTAACGACTGAACGGATAGTTAACATTTAAAAATGAAATTAATTTTCAAAAGTTGTAAAATGCGAATAATTGTTGGTTTGAAATACAAAGTTAAGGTAAAAAATGGATTCACAAACAGAGTATTGGTTTGAATGTATGGAGAAATAGAGAGAAGTACTCAGTTGTGGAATCGCCGAAAGGCATTACTCCGATGGTTAGCACAGAGACCGGAGCTGTTCTCTGGAGGGAACTAATACTGATCACAAGAATCTTTTCAAGAATCATCCCTTATATGCCTGTTATGTAAAGATTTTATGTTAGATAAGTAAACACAACGAATGACGACAATAAATGCATTAATATTTTGGGCGCATATATGGAGAGAGAGAGAGAGAGAGAGAGAGAGAGAGAGAGAGAGAGAGAGAGAGAGAG